GATGACATGTTCTCCGCTAGGCAGTTGCTCGTATTCAGCACATGGATCGCTCTGGACAAGTAGCTTCAAGCCCTTGATCATCTTGTCTAGATCATACGGGTTTTCAGGCTCGAGTGCAACGCGCACAATAGGTTCTGAGCCCATCTGGATACCAGCAAGATTGGCGGACCCAGGAAGCTGGGAACAGAGAGTGCCGGACTTTAGGATGTGGCCCTCAAGTCCACCAATGCCAAAGACGACACCGGCAGGCACCGAGGTCAATGGCTCCAAACCACGACCCATCATCAGGTACAGCGCAGTGATTTTGACCTTTTGTGGCTCCGGAGAGGCGTGTGGGTTCGCGGGGGTGAATTTAGGGCCAAGAACGTACACTTCGTCGCCAACACTCAAGGTACCAGAAAAGATACGTGCGAATCCGATGAGGTGTTCGGCTTCTACGTCGGGCACTGGTGTCTCTTCTACAGGCGTCTCGGTTTCTCCAATAGCAGCAGAACTTAATGCGTCTGTGACTCCACCGATGTCAGCGTCCTCGCCGTTGGCGATAGCCTGCTGCCGGGCAATCTCTGCCCTCTTCTTCCGTCCCATCTCCCTTGCCTCTTCAGCTGTGAGTGCGCCACCTCTTCGCTTGTTCTGAGGTAGTTCGCTAGAAGGCACTGAGATCATCTTGCTGACATAGGCTACGACAGGGTCATCCTTGGAGGCCTTGAAGTTGGTCATGGCGTCGCGCACTTCTGGTGCAACGTAATCGGCACCTGGCGAGCTATCGATGATTTCGGGCATGCGTTCGGCTTGCGCTTTGGAAGGGGCGGGTAGATATTCGGTGACTGAAACTAAGAGGGCGGTTGATAGTGGAAGCCAAGCTGCGAAGAGTGCCATTAGGAGTGCGCGCGGGTCGCGAGAACGCATGATATGTGCTGGAACGTTAAGGTTGAGTGACTTGGTAATCTTCTCGACCATAGCAGGATCTCTGTAATGAAAAGTATAAGTATATTGCTATGATACATGGACATGAATCACGCAAGGAAAGGAAATCCACGCACCCCTTCCCGTTGTTACCTCCCGTAGTGGCCTCGTATACGGCCCACACGTTATCTAGGACGAGCTGGACGAACATGGGCTTAAGATGGCGACCCTTGAGATGCTTGGAGCTGAGTACGCGCTTCGTCTTGGGGTCTAGGTAAAAATCGCCCCATAGTACCTTTTCGAGAATGGAGCGCTTGATGCCTAGTTTCTTCTCGTACAGGCTGGCGAACTGTCTTACCGTGAATGCCCAGCCGTCGATGGCACTACCAAAGATGACGTTGTTCTTCTCTGGGGCAAAGTAGATGTCTTCGTCGTCCTTCTCCTCGTACTCGGCGGGTGTGCTCGTGGTATCGATGCTTTCACCGTTCTCTGGTATGGATGAGGATCGTGTGTCAGTATTCTCAGCTGCAGCGTTTAGTCTCTCTTCCATCTTCTCGCGCCATCGGAGGTCGTCCTCCATGCGCTCGCCTTGGTAGAAGCTGCCCATGACGGCGTTTACTTGTTCGAGCAACTTGCTCAGATGTGTGTATGCCTCTCCAGGGCTCATCTTGAGTTCTGTGATTAGCCTGTCCATTTTGTTAATGACGAGCAAAGGCTTCAGCTTCTCTATCCACGACTGTCGCAGCACTGTGACAGTCTGACTACACACGCCCTCTACGGCGTCTACAAGCACGACAGCGCCATCGCAGAGACGTGATGCGGTAGAGACCTCGTAGCTGAAGTCTATGTGTCCCGGTGAGTCTATAAGGTTTATGAGGAATTCCTTGGGCTCTGGCTGTGCGTCGGGCGCGGAGCGTCGCAGCAGAGAAAAGTATAGCGAGATGGCGGACGACTCCATGGTGATGCCACGCAACTGCTCGTCGGGTCTCGAGTCGAGGTAGCGGATCTTGCCAGCGAGTTTGGGGGAGATGATGCCATTGGTGGCTATGAGGGCATCGGTGAGGGACGTCTTGCCATGGTCCTGCCGCAATCAGCACATGTTGCGTTCACGCGCATCAGCAAGTCGACCTACCACGTGAGCTAGGATGCAAATGTTCCTGATGCCATCAGCCGCCTGCTGCAGCGACACCAGCTTGTCGCTCGGAACGACAGGCATCCTGGTCGAGTGTTGTGGTCGAGACTGGTTGCGACAAGGACTGGGGGCGGGCGCCGTGTTTCGCGTGGCGACGTGAAGGCAGTGGAGCGCGGGAGAGGCCGTTTCACTGCAGATCAAAAGCGCGCGTACCGGAAAAGGCAAATTGGAGGGGCGTGGACAAGTGCCGCAGGTGTTGAGGTTACAGATTTGTTGTGTGGTTTTGAGGCATGGCGGAAGATTTGGATGAAACGCAGCGGCGGCTACCAAGGTCCCCGCCAAACCGTCATCACTATGGCTCATTTTTTGGTGGCGGTCCAGCTGCACCAAGACGTCAGACCCTGCTGACATAGCCATATGCAACCCAACGGCCTCCCTGCCGAAGCGTCGCATGCACCCCCCTTCCCGTCCTGCGTCGTCTGCGATCGCCGGCGGCGGCCTTTTGTTTGACCTCACCACTTTGGCCGGCCTGCCTGCCTGGCTGCCATGTCCTTATAGCCTGTGCGCCTGCCGTCGCTGGTGCGGTTTGCGCCCCATGCATTCCCCCTGTCCCCTCGCCTACCGTCTGTCGATCTCCCATAACACTCGGGATATAACCAACGCGCTCGAGCATCGCAACGCCCCTATAGCCGCCTACCTTCACTCCCACCACCGAGCCCGCGACCACTCATCCCGCCCACCCCGCCTACCGTGAATGTGACTCCTACCGCCGACATGGCAGCGACACTGGACGGCCAGCACACGCCAGCCAAACCCATTGCGATCCGCTCTGCCGGCATGAAGCTGGACCCGCCCCATATACACAACATCAAGACGCTCAGCGCCAGCGTCGACATCATGTCGCCCGTCAACCAGAACGGCTGCTTCGAGTTCGACCGCATCATCAAGGCCGGCACCGTCGTCAAGCGCACGAGGAAGACAAAGGCACGCACCCACGCCCGCGACCACCGTGGCATGACGTCTGCTAACACGTGCACAGCAATGGAAGCCTGTCTACATCGTCCTGCGCCCCAACTGCCTCTCCATCTACAAGGACAAGCACGAGACCAAGCTGCGCCACCAGATCAACCTCTCCGAGATCACGGCAGTTGCGCGCCAGAGGGACTCGAAGAAGAAGATGGAGCACGTCTTTGGCATCTTTTCGCCCGCCCGCAACTACCACCTCGGCGCATCCACAGACAAAGACGCTCAGGACTGGGTGCACCTCATACGTACCGAGGCACGCATTGGCGAGCACGAGGCTGAGATGACCGTCATGAGTCCCACAGCCACAAAGAAGACGTTTGCAGGCTTTGGCCGCGCAACCAGAGAAAACATTGTTTCCAGTTCCTCCGAGACAGAGCCGAGACCCTCGAGCTCCATCGCCCCGGAGAACATGCACAGCGCCCGCCGTCCCTCACAAGCCCTCAACTACTCCGGCGGCGAGCGCGGCTCCATCTCCGACTTTGACTTCTCCGACACCAACCAAGCCTCCGCCAACTCTCCGCCCCCGAGAACACCACAGCAGCAACAACAACGCAACGCGAGCCAGCAGAGCAACATCGGCGCCACGCCCGACGACGAGCGCGTCGTCTATCACGGCTGGCTCTATGTCCTCAAATCCAAAGGCGGTGTGCGCCAGTGGAAGAAGATCTGGGTGGTGCTGCGACCAAAGTGCCTTGCTTTTTACAAAAACGACGATGAATACTCCGCGACCCACATCATCCCCTTCACCAACATAATCGATGCCGTCGACATAGACCCACTCTCGCGAAGCAAGCAATACTGCATGCAGGTCATATGCGAGGACAAGAATTACAAATTCTGCGCCTCAGACGAAGATGCCCTAGCCAAGTGGCTCGGCGCGTTCAAGAGCTTGCTGGTCAAGAAGAAGGAAGTGCCTCAGACACGCATACAGCAGGCAGCTCCTAGCACCATCAACATCCAACCAGCAACCCCAAGCCTTGTGTCTTCACCCATACTGCCAGTGCAGCAGCCTCTCTCCATCAGATGACCCTCGCTTGCCATCCCCGACACTCCTTCCAAACACCAATTGTACATACGCTGGCCCTCGTATCCTTTTCGGAACTCCCACCCTCCACCGCCATCACTAATCGCGCAAACATTCCCTTGACCTCTTCTCCTCACGATACCATTACGATTTATGACTTCAGCCTTGGCGCTGCCCATTGATGGGGCCTTTTGATACCAGTTGGATACTTTTGCTCGACGATATTGCATATTGTAGCATGTTCCCCCCACAGATTGTTTCCTTTGTCCACACTTCACACTTATCACATCTAGTGTGCAGTAGCAGTAGCAGTAGCAGTAAGCCTTGTAATCACCAGTCGCCCTTGATCTGGGTTTGAATTCGAATCTCATAGTTGTAATCCTTGCATGGTTTTTTACCTTTTTCTATTTTCCATGTTGCGACAAAATGGTATGATTGGATTCTCGAGGAATACTCCGTGTCTTGAATCGTATAACTGTCTGCCAATAGTGAGGAAGGCCTACTAGGGCTCTCAACCAATGCGAGATGGAATAGAAGATAGCAAAGCTAGTCCACGTTCGATCACAAATCCATACGCTAGGAATATAGCCAATCACGAGGCTAGAAACCAGGGGTATCTTGCTCTCATTGGAAGGCTATGGTACGTTGTCAGCCATGAATTACCACGGCATCACATGGCATGACGGAACGGCACGTGTGCTCCAGTCAAATTGGCTGTCCTAATCTGACGCTAGTATGGAACTGAACTCGGGCTGAACATGAGGGATTCGATTGCATGCATCTATTAGCGTCAGACCTTCCCTCCTCATTCAAGTTCAGCCTTTCCCCCATCTCACATGATGGCTGCCTTTTCCTCGTTTCTGTGTTCTTCCTGACCTTTGTAGCATTGTTCTGCAGCTACAAGCTTACTTTTCTATGGAGGACCAAGCACAAGAGTTAGGAGCCACCCGGCGTCTCCCTCGTCAGTATCAGGCTGAGGTCCGTGAGGCTTCTGTTGATGAGGCTAAGGATGATTACCCACATGAAGAAAGAGACCGGCACCAATCTGTATCGTGGGGCTTTGGAGATGAGCACGTTCAGCAAGCAGAAGATCCACGGTGGATGGCCGACTATGTCACTGAGGAACCTATCGATCTTGTCGAAGAACAGAAACTCGAGCTGGAACGCACCAAGAACAGGCTTGTCGATGCAGAACGTGCTCTTGTCGAAGAGCTGAAACCTCGGCTCGAAGACCCCAAGAAGGAGCTTGCTGAAGACGAACGTATGCGCGATATGCAGACTGCTACTAACCTCAAGTACTACGCCATTCCTGATACCGAGCAGCGCAACAATGAGCTTCAGTCAAACGATCCAAGTCGTCAACAGCCTTCTCGAACACACAGTATTGACATAGTCGAGCAAGAAATCATCTACTTATACGATCATCGACATTTTCCTTCCATTTTTCCGTTCGAGCAGTGTTTTTCCAAAGAGGTGTGTAAATATCATGCTTCATAAAAACACTACCACGAAGCGCACTGGTGCTGATGCATTCTGCAGGCTACCAACAGGCTTTGGATTGAGATGTACACAAATTCAGATTTGAACCCACAGGACAGACAGAGCTACCTCGACAAACTATCAGATGGAGCATATTCAATTCAGAGTCTTGACGGAGTTCCTATTCTTCCAAGTGCCTGGAGAACTATTGTCAAACCTAATTCAAGAATCAAGATCGCGTTTGACAACCCTTCGCGAAGTTATTCGCGGTCGCAGTCACGATTCCAGCTACAAGATGCCCGACAGTCTGGGCCTGGGGCAAACACTGCTAGAGAGAATCTTGCAGTCAGCATAGAGGTCCTGGATTCGGTTCGACACTCGCTAGAATCAGAAGATAGCATCAACACTGAAGACTACCATGGCGAGGACACATCTACCAGCAGCGAAGAGGATACACCCCTGAAACCCCCCAGGTCACTGCGATTGAATCGGTATATAGTACCTCCAAAAGATCGCGAGGGCAACAGACTATCATTTCAGGTGACAACCAAAAGCTCAAGCAGTATCATCACTCCCAGTGGAATATCAACAAGCGTGGAGAACAAGAAAGATTTAAGAGCGAAGAAGCCGGATCTGGGTGGCAATAGCCTAGAGATACGGAGGATCACCAAAGCAATGATGATGCAGTCTGACGACCAGAACAAGCTTACGCTTTACACCTTACCAAGCCTAGCAAAGTCTAGTTTACGAACAAGCGTGGTAACGACGTGGTACCACATTCATGGTAGCTATCTCGACTTTGATCGCTTCGAGAACGTCTGCCTTACTATCCCACATCTGTCTGACCGTTTACAAGCCCTCATTTGCGAGATGTTGACAAGGCTGCGAGATGATAAGATCAAGCCTTTCGTAGGCGGCAAATTCATTGAACCCGGAACTGTTCTTCGGGCCGATGGTTCTGATCCAACAGACTCCCAGTCTGTGATCTTCAGCTGTGTACCATATTTCAGCCTCCAACAAACGGTCAAACTATCGCCTGGGCAAGGAGACCTTCTATGCCCACCACGTACCTTGATGCAGACTTTGTATCCTTACGAATCTGTTCGTGAGCGGGACGAGGAGCAATCATACAGGAAGTTTGGCAATGATCCTACCAAGAACATCATTCATGTCCCGAGCCTTTGGGTCATGAACATCGGATCTACTGCTATTGTAACATATGGACACGAGTCTCTGTCCGTAGCGACGAGAGATGCGATTAGCATTGTTGAAGAAGACATTCGACATCTGGGCAAGCAAGACGTTACCGAGAATATGCTGGCAAACATCCACGTTACCAATCTCGACGGCAGCACCTTCATATATCCCATCGGCACTTTCAGGTCCTACTTTCAGTTGGAGTCAAGAATTGTGGATCTCAACTCGGTTCTCCAAGGAGGCAAAGGGATTCAATTAACAGTCCAGAATCTTGATGATGATACAATGGCTGGCCCTGGAAACTGGAAAAGCATCGTCACTCGGGCAGCCCATCTCGTCTCAATCAACATTATTGTTTCAGATGACCAAAAACTTCTTGCGCGAGATGAGACAGCACCAAACTCAGATCCAGTGGTAGTCGGCTCCCCCATCTCCGTGCCGCCCTTCTTCCATTGGATGCAGTCGAAGAACAGTGACTTGTCTCAAAGAAGTGGAAGGTCTTTAGGCCCCGATACCTCGGAGAAAGATCGATCGATCGCTTGCTTGGAGTATGTGGAGAAAGCCATGACGTCGAGGTATCTTCCCCACTCAGAAAATCTGGTGGAGGATGCTTTCACGTCAACCCTGTACTACCACTTCTTGCCCGAGACGGTATATAGTGGCGTCTCCACACGACTGTCTGAACTAAAAGATCACATCAAAAAATCAGTACCAATGGATTCCGGCAATATAAATCACAGAATGATTGTGAGCACTCATTGGCGTGGAGTTTTGAAGCAATCTATCCAGTTTCTCGAAACCGTCTGGAAGACACTAAAACTTTTCGTCGACGACTTAGACAGCAGCATCATCCTTCGAAAGATGTCGGGCGCGCTGCAAAATATCCACCAGCAAGTGATGACCATTGAGCAACGTGGGGCGCTCGAGCCCCATTCCGAGGAATATACCAATCCTAGGTGGGAACATCCCGATATGATGAAGCGTGCTTGGTCCATTCGCACTTCCGCTTGGGAAGTTACGTCGTCACTCCCAGGCTCTAGGAAGATACTGCATAGATCGATTCTGCGTTGTAAAAGATGCAGAAACCCGTTTCAAAGCTCGACGTCTGCAATAACACATCTCAGGCGGCATGTAAACAAATATTCGACCGGAACTGAGCACTCTGGTGATGTACCTTCCTTTGAAGAACTTCAAGACTGGATAATCAACTCCGTACAGTACCGGCGCGAACTTACGAATGCTACCGCTCTAGTGATACTCACTTATGCTAGTGAGGATGCTACAGATCTTTTCGTTCGAGCCAGAGAGCTTGCCGAAGGTGTCCAGAATGAAGACGGACAGATGTCTCTACTATATACTCTACCTCGAGAACTCATCAAAGCATTCCAAAAGATCGTAATCTTCTACTTGGCGATCGAGCGAGCTCTGCACGAGAATGAAAAGGCGTATGGGCAGGATGTTCGATACCAAGATTCTCGTAGGCTCATAACCGCCCCTTACTCAAGTAGAGATACCAAAGTACTCAGGCGCTTTGGTGGGTATGCGCGACGGTCGCTGTGCAAAGCTCGGGTTTTATTGTGTGACATGGCCGGATCCAAGGCTCCACAGTGTGTTCCCAAGCATCTTTCGTTGGGTCCGGAATATGTGTGTCTGTGGTTCATCAGAAGGCTTCTGGTAACATCTCTTGAGAAGTCCAAGACCATCAGCGACATGTACCATATTTACGTCTCCAAAGTTGTAGGTACATTCATACCCTATAGAAAGACATCGGAAAGAGAGATGTGCCTGCGTCCCAAGAGCAGCGCACATACCAGGAAATGCGTCTTTACTCTTAGCTAATATTCATCAGGAATTTGAAATCAACCATCGACCAAGCAAGCGACTCCTTCGTGCCATCAACTTGATTCAAGAAGAGTTGCAAGTCTTGGAATCAGTCAACACTTGGCAGGACAATCTTTTGTTCAGCTACCTCGAAACACTCAATAGCATCACATACGAGAGATTGATACCGTCGCGTGAAGCTATGTATCGCTACGAGTCAGTTCTGATTAAAGCCTGTGGAGAACATATCTCGTTAGTTTGGGAAGACTACACCAACCTAATTCGCCGTTGTCACCCACTCCCTGGTCGCACAAAACAAATCCTGGAGATTAACGAAGAAGATCATGGAAAAGCTATCATGGTCTTCACAGTGGTCACTGTCATATTCTTGCCCCTGTCATTCGTCACAAGCTATTTTGGTATGAACGTCTCTGACATCAGAGGCATGGAAGAAACGCAGGCTGTGTTCTGGAGTGTCGCCATACCGCTGACATTTGTGACGGTGGGTTCTTGTTTACTGATCGGATACAACGGCGATAGTATACGAGACCTACTGTCATCCATGTATCGACGAGTGATGGGGACAAAGGAAGACGCTGTCGAAACCGCTGGTATAACCGTTTCACAACGTCAGGGGCCCTCTAAATCTCAAGGCATTTCGTATAGCGTGTTCGACTCGTTTGGCCTCGCCAACGATGAACTCGCCAGTCCAGGACTTAGGCGATATCGAGTGAGACATGATCTCAGTACAGATGACGATGATGGTTTTGATGGGTGGTATGAGCAACGCAACCATAGATTGCTTGATCAGTACAACACGTCCGAAAACCTCCCCAACGCTACAGGAAAGGGACAGAAATCTTACACTGAGCCATTATCTACAGCATTACAAGCACAACAGCAATCACTCTACCCGTACCAGTACCCATCAGCTAGACCACGGGGGAATAGCTACGATAGAGTCCCATACAAACATCGTGAAAAGATCGTGCGGAATCGTTCAGTTAGTGGTCAAATGCCAATGGCAAACAGTCGCCATGACGATACGTATCGAGAACGAGACTCTGTGATGAGATTCCCATACCATGGCAGTGGGAGTGTACCACACCTTGCGCCTCAACCGCTGCATCCACATATGGAAACGCGTGAAAGATTCGGTTTGAACGATATCCACGCGGCTCTTGAGCATCTCCAAGAGAAGAGGGATATGAGACGACCGATGAGACGTTCAAGTGGTACGCCTGTAAGGTACTCAGTGCCTTACTCTGACGAGTGGGATATTAGGATACCTTTGGGTGGCCGCTCACAGCGGAGGAGACACTTCGACGTTCACGAGTATGAAACGTCTACGCATCGTGGTAATGTGCAACAGAGATACGTAGCCGACAGGTCGCCGGATCGAATTCATATTAACAGGGATGAGCCTGTGCGCCAGAGACACTACAGAGATGGGCATGGGGCTCGTGGTAAGTATCCTAGTCCTGATTTGGATTACGATCGATATTAGCTAGGGAGGGAAACATACCGCTTAAGAAAGAGAGTCATGGAGGATTATGAGAGGCGAGAAGAGAATGTTATGCGGTCTAGTTACATGAGAGGTTCGATGTAGCATCTTCGAAGATGCAAGAGGCAAAGTCACTGTTCTATCTTGTTTTCCTAGATGTGCCGATGGATGTGGCTGCTTGATCCGCAGTATGCAACGTTATGAGAGAAAAGAATGTGCAGCTTGCGGTTTGATGTTAAAAACGCATGACCTCAACGAAGACAAAACGAAGTTTTGAAGCACCAATGAATTAATTATTACTATGGAACGATAGGAGCGATGAACTAGCAATTTTTGTCCAACCAAACCCTGTTAACAGGATGAGGCCCGCCCTCGCAATGATCTCCATGTTACAGGCGCGATTATGCTCCATGTCCCACGATCCATCGAAAACAAGAAAGAACAACCAAGAAACATTTCATTTGCTACTCATGTGCGCGTGCGCCGTGGCGCAATCGTGGTATCATCCATGATCAAAAGGTAGGAAAGTCGTAATCATGACTGGCGGCCCCCAAGCATACCGGGTATCACTGGTCGACGAACAAGCATCTAAGCACGGCCCTGGAAGACGGGGTTCTGGTCACCGAAAGTAGTGTTGAACTCTCCGGAGGCAGGAGCGCCAGTGGGGTGAGTGGTAGAGCCAGTGGTGGTGGCAGCAGGGTTGTTCAGACCTGTAGAGTCGAGGCCAGATGAACCAAGGCCGGACGAGCCGACGGGGGCGCCGGTGCCAGAAGTGTTGAAAGCATCGTCGACCTGAGTGCCGAAGCCGTGGCTACCTCCAGTGGTGGAGGGAACACCACCAGTCAAACCCTGACCACCAGCGAGGCCGGATCCTCCAGTAAGACCCTGACCACCAGTGAGGCCGGATCCTCCAGTAAGACCCTGGCCACTAGTGAGGCCCTGGCCAGCACCGAGACCACCAGTGTTGCTGTACTGGCTGTCGTACTGGTTTGCTGATGGGTTAAGGCCCTGTGAGGCGCCAAGACCACGAGACTCATCACCAGGGCTGCCGTAGCCACCCGCACGACCGTGAGGCTTGCGAGTGACCTTGCCAACCTGAGGCAGACTGGAGGTTTCCTTGGCGGAACCAATAGAGAAGATAGGGCTCTCCCACCTCTCACCCTTGGCAGCAAGCTCCTTGTACTCGGTAGCCTTGGAAGAGATACCTCCGGGCAGGGAGATGTTCTTGAAGATGGAGTCGTGCTGAGTGACAGCCATGTTGACCTGGGTGTCGCTCGCCTTCTCCTTGACCTGCTCCTTCTTCTGCTTGCCCTGCATAATGCGGTGCTGCATAGCAGAGGCGTAGCGCTGGTACATGTTCTGGAGGTTCTGCGGGTCGGGGTTGCGCTTGGCCTCAGCCTCCGCACGGTCTGCCTCAGTCTTGATGTCGAAAAGAATGCCGTCGAGCTGGTTGGCGGAATCCTTGATCTGCTTCTCTAGCACCTTCTGAATAACAGGGCGCATGACCTTGAGAAGGAGAGGCTTGAACATGTTGAAGAGAAGCTTGTGGTTGCTCTTCTTCATCTTGATCTGAAGGTTCTTAATGTCAGACTCAACCTTGGTGACCTTGAAGAAGTGGGTCTGCGCGTGGTTTTCGCGGGCCTTGTCAGCGGTCTCCATCTCGACCTTGAAGCTGAAGCCGGAACCGCCCATGAAGATGTCCATAACACCCTTGTCGGTGATAGATGGGAAGCCCTGCTTGCGCTTGATGTAGTACGAGACATCCCTGAGGTCCATCTGAACACCCGAAACTGAGAGCATAACCTTGTTCTTGTTCTTGCTGGAAATGGACTTGCGTCCCCAGCGCCAGTAGTTGTCCGAGCCGAACTCCAAAGAGTTGGGGGCAAGGTTGTCACCCTCGATGACAAGGTTCTCAACGACAGCGTCGACCATGGAATCGCTGTACTCGATACGCGGGATTGGTACGTAGCGGACGTTCTCGAAGATGGAAGGCAAGATGACATCGCTCAAATCTTTGAGAAGGTGAGGCTTGAAGACGGTCTGGCCGTTCTCATCCTGACCGAGGTCAAGGAAGAGCTTGTTAACAGACTGTGCGAACTGCTTGTTCTGCGGGTCAGCATCGAACTGCTCGCCAATGAACTTGAACTCGTCGGCGATGCGGTCAGTGTGGCCACGGTAGCGACCACGGAGGAGGCGGTGACCATCGTCATAAATCTGGTTCCACTCCTCGTTGCTACGATCCTCTAGGATGAAACCCTGCTGCTGTAGGGTCTTACGGATGAAGTGGTTGATGCGTGTGAACCAGTTCTTCAGTTCGGGGTCCTGGTCAGCGTCCTTGTAGACCTGGTTAATCGACTCAATAAGGTCATCGAACGAGGTGTTGTTAGCGAAGCGCTCAAGCAGAGTCTTCAAATTTGTCAGCCATTTATTTTCGGAGAGGAAGCCTAGATACGCACCTTAAGATCAGCTTCAGCAGTAGTTAGGGCATCATTTTGATGCGCACCTTGAACAGAGCCCTTGCCCTGCTGGCCCAGGTTCTTACCATGGCCAGAGTACTGCTCGGCGAGGCTGAGCAGAGTCTCAATGGCACGCTGGTAATCCTGGTGTCCCTGAATCTCGACGACCATCTTCTTCAGACGCCAGATGGTCTGCTCGCGACGCTCCTCGGGCATCTTTCCCTTGAGGTAGTTGTTCATTTGGTCACGACGAGCGCGAGCCATGTTCTTGTCCTCCTCAGAAGTGTTCGCATCGACCTTCTGCTTAGCAGTCTCCAGCGCACCGCGAGCATTGATACCGGTGCTCTGACCAGTTTGACCCTCATGGGCGCCGAGCTCAGCGGTGTGTTGAGGATCGCGCGAACCGTCTGGGTTGGCAGCCTGGTTGATGTCCTTGGCATGCTCCTTCAAGTCGCTCTTGACCTCATCCTTGTTCTTGTTACCGAAAGGCAGGCTGTTCTTAGCTTGGTTGCGGAGGTTCTCACGGTTCAGATCGGAGGTGTCGTGCCAGGTGTTGTCCTCAGCAGGCTCGTCCAATCGGTTGAGACGGTCTTCTGAGGGCTTGATCTTGTTGGCAGTGTTTTGGGCGGCATCGCCAGCCATGTCACGGAGAAGGACGGTAGCGTCGGAGAGCAGCTTCCTGAACTGGCCATTGCTAATGATTAGGGTGCCGAGAGTCCGTAGACCGTCGAGTGCCTCGTTTCCATGTTGCTTCGCTGTGTCCTTATCGACAGGAGCATTGGGGAGACTAGCGCTGTTGCTACCGAGGTGCTCTGCCTGCCAGATGAAGTCTTGGAGGAGGTTGCCCTCGTTCTTGGTGAGAAGTAGGATCTTGGCCTGTTCGATGACACTCTTCAGGTCGGAGACCAGGTGCTGGCCCTCGCTCGACAGCTTCTTAGACGGTGAGTTGAGTGCCCTGTGTGCAAGCGCCGAGTTGAGCGCAACATCGATCTGTTGGTTAGAGGGGACCTTTCCGTTGGAGAAGGCTAGAGTTGGTCAGCTCTGTTTGCATTACTTGTGCGACGCGTCGGTTGCACGTGTTTACCTACCCTCGACGATGCCGTAGAGTTGCAGCTTGTTGTTGACATCCTTCTCCTTCTGCTTCAAATCCACCGGACCTGGACGAATTAGTAGTGTTTGAAGGGGGAAGCGGGGTAGGTATCCATACGGTTTACGGAACTCATGGTGTAGGACTGCTGCTGTGGGTATCAAGGTGGGGTATCAAAATGCAGACGCAGAGCTGAAAACAATGGGAGGGATGGTAGATGGGTATTTCGAGGTAATGGGTATCAGAGTGGTTTGTGTGGGAGGGAAGGCGGGTGAGGGCAAAGGCAGCTTTGTATTTGGGCTGGCTGGGTAACACGCGCGATTGCAGCAACTACGTCACTGCGTCGTAGCTTCCCGCTTGTGAAGAGTCTGGGCTTGGAACAGCGACCGACCACGACCAACTTGATTGACCCCGCGACTACCGGCCATGATTTTCCCGCTGCCATCGATCGAATGCCGCGGAACATGCAGAGAAAGCAGCGCGGCAGCCCAATTCCCTGGTGATGTGCCGTCCAATGCCACAATTGTACACGCTTTCCTTGAGACATGGGGCCAGCCACGCCAGAACGAGGTCGCCCTGGTCTGTATGACGAGCCTACGGGTATGTTTGCGGGATCGATCGGCGCCAGGTTTCCCAAAAGATGCCAAAACATGTGTCTTGGTTGCGTCATGGGTAATTGAGCTGTGCGCCACAATCTCGATTCCGTCTTATGCGAAGTGTGGCGCCACCCCTTGCCTGCAAAATCTTCCCTGCAACCTTCGCCAGGTCTTTTCTACTGTAACTTTCTTGCTCTCTTTCGCTGCAATCTCTTCCTAGAGAAACCACAACATCTTCCTCCATCGCCCCCCTTTCTGTTTGTGGTATTCCATGCGCCACATGTCAAAATACCAAGCTTTTCTTGGCACCAGGCTAGACGGCTGGCCCACTGCTAGCGCGAGTACCGCCGGCCACACCGCTCGCACGATGACGACGTCCATCTTCCAGTTCACGACGTCCAATCTCGTGGGGCGCCAGCTCATTCGCCGCCAATGCACTACAATGGGTCGTGCTGGCGCGTCGCTCTCATGGTCCTAAGGTCATGAACGCCACACACGCATCAAACGGCTTCCATTAGAACACGTGAGGCTCTGAAACCGGGAAATTCCAGACAAGGCCAATCCTGGAAGCGCTCTCCCTTCAGATCTGCCCGCCCTGGACGATCCTACACACAGACTTCTCGACGTGCCTGTCTGGTATAGCGCAGATCAGCCGACGCACTAAGCTTGTCGGCTGCTGCCCGTACCTCATCATATATTGCTACCTATTACTAGTCATGATAGAGATGCCACTATGTTTCTTTTACCCGTGCTCGGTACCTGCCGCTCCTGTTCAGTAAATTTCTGCCAAGCGTACGAACCATTGGCCTGTAGTTTCACCCGCACTTCAACGTACTACATATATCCTTTGATCTTTTGTACCACCCCTCACTTCGCACCTCTCAGCTGCTAATCAAATATCCTCGAAGAAGTCCTCGATGAAGCAATCGATCTCAGCAGCAAGTGCACCGATCGCGTTCTTCTAATCCTTGATTCTCACCCTCGCGATTGTACTGGATTAGTGGCCGAACTTGCCGAAGATCCGAACACACGCGGGTGCCTGCTGGCGACAACGGAATCGATCTTTTTTCCGGGACTATAAGCAGGTAGAGGCGGTAGTAGTTTCTACCAATGGAAAAGATATCGAGAGGAGTACATATATACGAGCGAGGGGCGAGATCCATTTTCCCTGGGGGCGCTTGGATTACCGAGGTTCTCGTGGAAAACCTGCAGTAGCTCTAGGATATGATACTCAAGCGAATGATTAGAGACAAGTAAATAAGAAGCCGTGGTGGAAACTTTCGGCAAGCTAACACGGTATCGCCGGGAGTAAGAAGTAGAGAATTGAGGGACTGATGGAGTTCTGCAACCAACCACGTTGGACGCCGGATGAAGGTAACAGTTGCAAAGGTAAATCATCCTAAATCGGTGGTGGCAAAAGAAAATGGGCGTAGAAGGAACAGATGCAGTCGAAACACTATCAACACGCTCTCGAAGTTCTCTGTCTGCGCCAAGGCGAGCGAAGAACCCTGTGATAGAGTATGCGCGGCGTTGTACGGTCCTTCTTGCTGTTATGGTCTCAGCGACAAGACATCTACCACAAATCTTCTGGTCCGTGGTCGACAGCACTTTAATTTTTATAACTCCATAAGCGAGGTAACCTGCTGGACCAGCGGCGATTGAAGCTTCGGGCGCAATCGCAATCGAAATTGTTGAGTTGATTTCACTGACTTATCTTTATACGTGTGGTGGTTTTCTGGGAACCTGGAAAGCGTGTCTATCAGGTATCTGATGTGCGTGTGAAGGTTGTATTTTCGTCATCTGTACTACCGGCTGGAGATGATTAAAATTCTATTCCTTACCCAAGATATTACTTCGAGCCGTTTCCGCGAAGCAAGTACCCCCCATTCTCATCATCATCCCCAAGCGGTATCATCTCAGCCTTTCTAACAGCCCTAAGCAGAACCCCTGGATGCAAAACTGCCATGATGACCACTACGCTGAACATCAGCGCCGCATCAAAAACATATAAGTACGCTTCGGTCTGATAAACCTTGCTCTCCGGCCCTTCCACAAACTCTGCCAGCCGAAATATACTCCGCACAACAACGAGCACACTAACGCTGTACAAAGCCCACATGTAGCGCTGCCATCTGACATGAGTCCGAAGTGACGTGGACGTGGGTTTGTTGTTAAGCCTCCGATGAAAAACCACTGCCATCAAGATGAAAAAAGCAAATGCAACCAGTTGCGTGCCCAGTCCCGCGATCACAACGGTATTTCCTGTCTTGACACCCTCTGGATCACCAGAAGTTTGCATTGCAGAGCCCATGATCTGGCACACGAACGAACCTATATCGATGATAACATAGATCTTTGTCGTCCAACGCGGGTTCAATACAGCGTGGTGCGTAGCATCGAGAGCACGGATAAGACGACCAAGCGTCATGTAGATGGTTGCTGCAAGGAGCGGCGCGGCCGCAAGAATGAGCATGAGTTGTATGAGGTAAGGGCTACCATTTCGGATATCGGATGAGGACCAGGCGCGACCGTAATAGCCTGCTGCTTCACCTGTGAGATTTGATGTTAGTCGATTGTACTACGTGGTGGTCATCGTGTAGCTACGAACCTACGCAACCCAGAACGAACGGAATAAAGAACCAACTTCGCAATGGGATGAGCATTACAAGATGAGCCAAACCACCGATTGCAAATAGCACCAGGAATACATAGCCAGCGGGTCCGGAAGGCGTATAGGGATAGAGATCGAAATCGGCTTGGCCCCTCGATGTGAGGGCATTAGACGCCATTTGCGAAACCAGGCTGATGCTAGCGATTGTCTTTGCGTGAGAAGCGAGGGAAAATGAATCAATGTAAGAATATAAAGGAAATGGTGTGAGGTGGCGAGGCGGATGGCGATGGAGTCAGTTGAGAGTTACCCACGTTACTATATACTGTTTTAATAAGATCCATGTTTCTCGCATTCGACTCTTACGCTCTCTTATCTCTCTCAAGCATTACTACAAGAGGGGCAGTGCCGCGCGGCATTTCCTCGGTCTAGTGTTCGGATGTTTCGTGTTGGTCTGCGAATTTTGTTGCGAAAGAGAATACGCGGTAATACGCCCTAATGCGCACAAGGATTTGTCGTCGAACGAGACCACTCACCTTATCTCTTCTGGGTTAGCAAACAATCGTCTCCCCTTTTTTATGCTTCTTTCGTTTATTTAAAGCTTCTACAGTCGGTTTCATATCCTGTGGTAATAGGTTAATTAGGATTTCTGGGTATCATTCATGGCTTTGCTATGAGCATTCAGCTGCTTGAGAAGGTCCATATAAAGAAGAAAAGGATGTCCAAGCTATGGAAGGGAACTGAGTCAGCACTTCATTTGACCTCCGAATTTCCTTGGGCAACCCGATTCTAACCATCTTTTATCGCTTGCGCTATCGTAAAGGAGGCCAACATGGCAATTCCAAAGGATGCGATCGGAACTCTCTGCACTACGAGGAGCCCTCAGATTAAATAGAGAGAAGAAGAATAGAGTGTAGTTATACAAGACCCCAAGAACATGGCCCAGCGCTTTGAACGCAGATTTGGCATCTGCTCTGACGACATGAGCAAGACTACCGACAACGGCCAAGCACACGCCATAATGACTACAGCCAAGGAATCGTTCAGCAAAAGGATCTTCATCCGTGGAGAGTCTTAAGTCTGCCAACAAAGAGAAAGGATGCGCTTGTTTGTCCTAATGAATGAGGCGTGCAAGGTATATACGGAAAGCTGGAATTCAACGCTCTTTGAGTATGCACGCTTCGCGTCTGGTCTTACTTTCTCCGTCGTACATGAAGTGGTTTACGCATGCTATATTAGAGATAAGTTGAATGGGCTAGAGGAGTCCTCTGAAACCTTTTGGTCTTCGGAACAGCAACATGGGTGAAATCGGTTGCGCAATAGAGGTGGCGGTTCTCTGAGATACCATAGCAACATGCATTCACCACAAGCAAGGCATAGATATGCCGTGGGAGCCTGTTGTATCCGAAACAGCCGGCTCGAATATCGTTGTACAGGAAGTCTTATCATGCATTCTGTAAAGCCGAGTTGGTTTAGACAGTCCTTAACAATGGACGTTAGGAGAAAGCTAGCCGAAGAACCCTACAATAACCAGCTAACAGCTCTTTGGGAAGAATGCTAGTAACGACCTCACAGGAGGCGATGGTAAAGAGATTGGATACAAGGGCTCCCGTACTAATATTGACTCTGTAGTGCCTCTTCGTCGGGAGTATGTAGTAGTAGCAGCAAGAAGTGAAAGCGAGAAAAAGCTAGAGAGCGTCAAGAGCTGTTGAAAGGCGTTGAAGGTACTAGGCGCGAGGTACATGAGAAGAGAATGAAACTGAGTGCGAGCCAGAACGTGGTGTTAATGTCTTAGTGCTGTGCTATTTGGACATGCAAGAGGTGAAGAAGTATACCTAAAAGATAGCGATAGCTCCTGGTGGGCTTCCGATGCCGCCCCTAACATGCAGTGGCGCACTGGTCAAGAAAAAAGTATACCTGCCCATCTCTTTGCACCTTTGGCTAAGCTTCTCGAGGTCCCACATCTCACCGATAGCGGTACCCCAGTGAACGAGGAGCCATTCATGAAGGCACCACCCCTCTTCGAACTTCGGTGGCCAGGCTTCGAAAGCAACAGTATCGCCAACGATTGCGGAGAAGTGACGGTCATAGAGCCATCTGACAGTCTTCTCGTTGGCCTGAAGACCGATGGCGACACTGTTATCACGCGTACCACTCTTGCGCTCCGCTTCGTTGGCATTGCTGTTATCGTCAGTCATGTTGAGAAACTGAGAAACTAACAGGACACGTACTTATGCCATCTTACGTAACCACTTCGTATCATCATAATATCACCCTGCTTCAGCGTAGTGCCTTGCCACTTTAGCGTCTCTTCTATCTCTTCAATTGGAATCTCATGTCTCGATACCGGGCTTGGTGCTTTCCCCTTCTTCTCTTCATACCAACTCAGCCAGTCGCATAGAACACCTCTTCCAACGATACCACCTCTTTCGCACCACTTGTGCGTACCGTTCGTGACGCTCTTAGCTGCCTCCTTATGTGAGAGACCGTTGTAGTACATGCCGCTCGCTTGATGCGCGAAATGCTTTAGACTATCCCACTGCGAACCGGCTTGCGTGTTGATGTGAAGCTCATCATCATTAGCGCAGAAGTTGGAGAATTCTGCAAAGTCGATCTGCTTTTGCTCCAATTCTTTTCGGTTGAAGCCTGGAAACTGGACGTTGTGAAGTTCCCAATCAAGTTGGATGTGCTCGCCGGTGCTGATCTCCTTGGAAGCGGCTTTCACGACATCCGAAGTGAGAAGGTTGATAGCTATCGGACATTAGGTCAGTTTATTGCGCTGTATGTGGGAGCTTCCTCACTTCCGACTTCGTCTTTCTCTCCATTCTTGTCGAAGAAACCCCATATGCTGCCTTGTGGCATATCCTTCACCTTTGGCAGGTCATCGAATGCTGGAAAGTTATATTCTTGTTTAGCCATTGTAAAAGTATTGATGCTTCTTCTATTGCAACTTTAGAGAATGTACCACGAAAGTGTCTTGCTCTGACGATGCTTTATGTTGGGGCCATGAGCGCCGAGGTCAATCCTGAGACCCCGCATCCAGTACTAATGCGTATCATGCGGAGCTTTTGGTTGTCAGAGCTTCCATGACGTCGGAAAATACCATTTAGCGTGTAGTGAATTTGCTAGTCTGTAACCAGATGATGGCAGTTGGTTGGTAGGCGGACCCGCTTCCGAAAGGTGCGCAAGCGGGGATGTTACTAGTTAGCGTACACTTAGGTAACCCGCCCGTCCGATGTCACCTGGATCAAGTCCAAGTACGGTACATCATCATTTTTAACAGAATAGATGAACTCTTGGTTGTCGATGCCAACCCCATGTTTGTTGGATTTATACTATGCTATGTCGTCAAGCAACATTATTGTATACCAAATAACTGACAAACTTACTCATCATACACGGCAGCAGTCAGTGCATCGGGCAGACTCACAATGCCGCCAGCAACGGATCCACAACCATCCTTCGAAGTGCAGTAGCCGGCGCAATTGGACAAGGTGACATACGTAGGATGAAAGCACCCTCAACAACAGAAGCTACTTCTGACTCGAGTCATGAGATGCTGCTTGGCCATCTTGGGATACTGTTGCGAGATGCAGATTACTATTCCTCGATAATCGTTGCAAAGCTCACCGCAAAAGAGTTGGGTGAAGATAGACTTCTCAAGCAGGCTCTCGTGTCGGCTGAGAACGAGAAGGCATCGATGAACTCGATGTTTTTCGCGCGTTCGACTGGGAATAGGTTTTGTCATTCAAAACATACATTTGTAATAATTACCAAAATCGGACTGGCTCATTGATTTGATGAGAAAATGAGCGTTTTCTCCAGGCAGCACGTAGTCCTCTTCCCATAGCCAGGCAAATGCGTTGCGTTCTCGCAGCTTCTTCACTGCGTGATCCGCAAAGGAGCGACGGAAAACTCTATCTGGTCACACGGTGACGACACCTTCCATGTACTTCTCGCTGGCCAACCCATCGTCTCTATCATCTCTAGAAGCCAATAACTGAAAGGTTGCGCTACCACTCAGCAAGTCCCGTTCCTGTTTACAAGGGAAATAGTCCACTCCAGTCCTAATAATGGGCACGTGGCTTGCGACTATGAGTGCAACTATCATGGAGATGGGAGAGTAGCCGCTTACATAACGTGTTACGTCGAAGTTCGCCCCGGTGGCTTCGAACAAATACTCTACGACTTCATTTGATTCGTCAGACCGATGACTGCCATAGGCAACATCGCAAAAGAATATGGTTGTGACAGGACATACGTCGACCTCGGCGATCATATTTGTTCGTTGGAGATCCCCAATTCTATTTAGGAGGATAAAGGTGGACGAATTGTTGTAAAGAAAGCAGATTCCCGAAAGCACCAGCAGCCCCTAGGCGACGTAACGCTTCTCGTTGTAGGCGATTGGCAATATCGGAATCGCGGCTTAGACGAGCTAGTATTGATACTGGAGCAAAACGTGTGAACAGTGTTCACTAAGTTGATGTGACCATCACTCATATATGCTATGGGAATGCAGCATTTCCGTACCGGTGCGAGATAAGTGGAAGTGTCCAGTAAGGGACCTAGCGATTTCACTGGCTAAACCTCATTGGGATATCTATGATTAGCAGTGGGGTACGATTCACAGTAGATTGAAAGATCGCTTGCATCATCGGGATTTGTATCATTGAATTCAAGAAGCATTCTGCGCCATTCAGTGCGACTGTAGAAGGCATGATCACCCTCCAGCCATACTTTCCGTGTTAGCCGGTCTTACGCCAGCCAAGCCTAGCAATTGACCCCGCCAGCAGCTGAACCTGCCAGTGGCTGTGCTTCCTCACATCTTTACCTACGTGCCACAACTACATTTATTCTAACATGGCCGACCTCGTATCAGGAATTTCCAGACTCAATCCGTTTTCGAAAAAAGAGATCGATGATGAAGAAAAGGGAGAATTTGTTGATGCCGGGACCGTAGCAGGCGGCGGTCACGCATCGAGGCAGTCGCATATCACAAAAGATAAGCTGCGCGTGAGCGAAGTACTCAAGAGCTTCCTCGTCAAAGAGGGGGTTTTGCAAGAGTCCGAAGCCGGCCTTAAGAGTGAGGAGCCAAGTACGGCGTTGAGAGAGCTGCTCGACAGAAGCCACATCAAGGTTCCGGCGGAGGTCATCAACAGGGACCATCCGCTCCCCGAATACTTCATCAGCTCGTCGCACAACACTTACCTGATGGCGCATCAACTCTTTGGCGAGTCGCATGCTTCTGCTTACGAGATCGCGCTGCACACAGGATCCCGTTGTGTAGAGATCGACGCCTGGGACAACGATGATAATCGAGAAGAGCCGAAAGTCACGCACGGGTATACACTCGTCTCTAACATACCATTCCGCCAAGTATGTGAGACGATTCGCGATGTCGTCGATAAAGAAGCTGCTAGCGAAAAGAATGCTGCACCTATCATGATCTCCCTAGAAAATCATTGCGGAGCGCATGGCCAGCTCCGCCTAGCGCAGATCATGCAAGAAGTACTTGGCCCCCGACTTCTCAGCAAGGCCATTCGCGACAAGGGCACACGTGAACAAGATGACTCAAGTAACCATGAGCATGTTACACTTGCTGAGCTTGGGAACAAAGTGGCGGTCATCGTGGAGTACCATCTACCCAATGAGGAGGAAAGTAGCAGTAGCGATTCGAGTTCCGACGAAGAGGAACAGAAGCAAGCTCATCATGAGTATTCAGAGAAAAAGAAGGCCACTAATGCTGGTACGATCATCCCCGAGTTGGCTGAGCTCGGGGTGTATGCTCAGTCGGTCAAACCTGTCAACAACTCCTGGTTCGAAGCAGAGCTTGACAACGCGCCCCATCACCAGCTTATCAACGTCTCAGAGTCAGGTCTGAGAGCCCACCTTCCTGCCAACTGTGCTAAGATCGCACGGCATAATGCGCACCACTTGATGCGCGTCTACCCCAAGGGCACCCGCATCTCCTCTAAAAATCTCGCACCAGTACCATTTTGGGGTATTGGCGCCCAGATATGCGCTCTCAACTGGCAAACCTTCGGCGCAAGCTCGCAGATCAACGAAGCACTCTTTGCCGGCTCTGGTGGCTATGTTTTGAAACCGGCAGCACTTCGTGCAGGGGGCTCTGGTAACCTCAACACTGGACGCCGAAAGAAACTTCGCCTACACGTTGCCGGTGCAACAGACGTTCCCTTGCCAAATGATCGCGACCATGATGACATCAAGCCTTACTTAACGTGTACCCTTGTGCATCCTAACGACATGAATAACATGCCACCCAAGCGCAAAACCGCCCCCTACAAGCCCCACAAATTGACCGGCTTCATGCACAAGGATAACTCGCCCGCTAACGATCCTGTCTGGAAAGATGTCCTAGAATGGGAATTCGAGGACAACGAGTTGACCTTCTTACGTTTGTTAATCAAAAGCGATGACAGCTTCTCGCGAAACCCAATCTTCGCTGTTGCAGCGATAAGACTGATGTATGCTATGCCCGGATGGAACTTCATTCGGATGCTAGACTTGGGTGGTCATGAGACCACATGTACGCTGCTTGTCAGATTTGAGCTTCTGGACATCTAGGAGTATTGGACCGGCAGTGAGTACGAGAGTGACGAGCCGGACTGCAACAGAGGGTGGCTATGTAAGGTCGCCAAGATGCACGAGAAGTTGTGTGGTGATGGAGGGAGTTGCTAAGTATCCGAAGTTACCACCGACTTACAGCTCTTGACGAAAAACTAGTGTATAACGTCTCAATACACGATTCTCCAACGATTTGTGCCACGCTCAGTTCTCTCCAGTACTACTTAGCGAAATCTTTTCCGAAGCATGCAGATCCCCGCAGATCGTTACTCCTTGGGCTACGCTCTAGAACACGTATTCCCGTCCACTAACGCCCGTTAGTCTCCACCTTTTAAGTGCTTCTCCAAACGCCCGAACACGACCCCGCGCCGGATTGAGACATGCTTCCGTTGCGCCTCCAAGCTCCTGCGCATTAGTCTCGTACCGTGCCGATGATGTCAACGTACGCACCTCGATCACAGTCAGCTCGTTCCTTGCCCCACTACCTAAGTATCGCCCATGCAAGCTTAGTGAGTGTGCACCACTCCCTCATCAAGCGACGACCACGCCGCAAACATGCAGTACGATAACGCAACTCCATGGGGACGGCCCGTCGCTGGATACAGTGGGGGTAACTATGCCGTTTGTGCCCGTTTGTGCCCGTTTGTGCCCGTTTGTGCATTGCCATGCTTTCGGATAGTCTACATGATGGGTAGTGATCGACTGAGTTGAACATGACTTGTACATGCATAACCGAGGGGCCTACAGACGGAGAGCTTTGCGTGTTGCTGGGGTATAGTGTGCGGGTGGTAATGGCAATCAGAGCGAGGGTCTTTCATTGCCGCATGCACGTTCATGAGCAGGCTTACGTCTTCTTATGACCTGGCTATGCATGGTGCTACACTGCCGTCTATATTGGCCTATTATAGCACAGGGATCGGGCGATAGGCCGGCATAGAAGCAAAAACAAAAGTGGAGATTAGAATCATACTTCCAGCGGGTCAGACGACGGAACGATAGTTGCCAGTATTATCGGCGGTAGCCTCGGATGACGCTCTGGATTTGCGAAATAGTTCATTACAACATATTTGATGAGAAATGTTGGTAAAAGATACCGAAATTGGTGAACACGTGTGATGGAGATTCAGACCTTCCCACTGCCACTCGACTCATCCTTCTCGCTCTCCGCGACATGCCCCTCTTTTTCTTCTCTGTCTCTTGAAACTATTTCCTGACCTGGTGTTACTCCCTCCGTCTCCAGAATATGGTTGGGTATCACCACGCCCTCCTCGGTTCGATCGTAGTTTGTGTCTTGTATATGATATATCCCCAAGTAGTAGAAACTTGCGATCCCTATCACATAAAACAATAAGATGCCACCTGCCTCAGCGATGAAAGGTATCTTGATGCTATCGAGGCCGAAACAAATTGCTTCACCCGCTCCAAGCACGCCGCGAAAGACACCAACATAGTGCGTAAGCTTCTGGGGAGAATTCGTAAGGGCGCCGATCCAGTAGTAGACGATGTTATGCCAAAGCTGTGAGAAGGTCCAGTTAAGCATGAAAAGAAAGAAAATCCATCCAAATTTTGGTTCGTCCCAATCTGTAGGGTTGGCGGGTGGATTGTTGCGATCGTAGTTTCGAGTTCGGATCTGCGTGATGTTAGTTCGTGTTACCGAGCCGTCGATGCCTACACATACCATCTCCCAGACCCACGCAATGACTAGAGGGATGCAAACACCTGTCAGGCCGACCAGTCCGCGCTTGCGGCGACCCCATCCCGGATAATCGAGGACGTATTGCAACGCCCACCCTGCTGGTATCTGTATGACAACAGCGATGAAAGAAAGCAGTGAGCGTGTGCGGAGATTGTTATTGAAAGCTGCAGAGATATAAGCGCTGACCTGATAACGGATTTCGAACGCCTACCATTTACTGATCCGCTGTATACCAAAAACCCTTCAGCTGGTAGAAATGCCGGTAGCATCATAAGGAGTATGGGGTCCGTGAAGACTAACAGATTCGTTCTGAGCTCCTCCCAAACTCCTCTTGGTCGATCAACGGCGACAACAGAACCATCGTCTCTCGTGAGCTTGTGTGGTCGAAGCAAAGTTAGACACAGTAGGCCACCAATGACCATGATGACTATGAAAGCAATGTACACTGATCGAGGTACACCAGCAACAGTATCCGAGTTCCTGTTTATGATGACTGGGATGATGCCACTAATGACTGAACCGAGCGCTTGCATGTTCATAAGTATCGTCGCATAGGATCCTTTTTCTCTTTCTTCGGGGTAGCCAGTTGCAACGTAGCCTGCAGTGATAAAGACCATTCCTGCACCAATACCGATGATAGGACCGGCGGCGTATGGGTAAGCACTCTTGCCTGTCTCATCGTAGTACCAGAGAGATCCCACGTACACAGCGTACGTTTGAACGCCAATGCACATGGTAAGACCAGGTCCAAGCTTGTTCAAGATAGAGCCACCAAAGGACGAAGAGAAGAACCATACTACAGGATGATCAGTACAGGTCACCCACAAGATTCATGTATGGTTGTTCACCTGCGCATAGCGTCGCATTGACAACCTGGACTACCTGCGCTGAATCCGGCTTCCCACCACCAGCTCCTAGAAGATTAAGCGCAACGTAGATGCCGGCAGAGGAACCAACACCAAGACCGGCGATTAGCATCTGAACCCACGGTCCGTGGTAACGAAACTGAGGAAGGTTCAGGATCCCCATGACGTGTCACGCAAGCTATCTCCAAAAAGCAACGCGACGCAAAGATGAGCAAGAACAGAGGATATTAACGACAAATGCAGAGGTGAAAGTTACACTAACAAAGAGAAGGGCCGAGGCGTGGGAGTAATATAAACTTCAAGCCATCTGGTGCTGCGCCTCCCCCAGGACCCTGAGAATCAAGAGTGGGTGCACTAAGCACCAGCACAAGCTCACACCCTCAACACGAGGCAAGCAATGGCAAGTCGCAGCCTCCACCGATAGATAGCAACTTGTCAGAAACTACCAGGGTTCTGCCGCATGGCGTCCAGGGCCCATTGATTCGTCTGCTTCATTTGGCAGTAATCGACCACAGTATCCTAGTGGCTTCGAAAGCTAGTGCGCAGTGTGCTCACCGACGAACCAAAACTCCATGATAGCGGATACTAGCGTCAGGTTTCCGTACTGGGCTAGCTGACTCGCTAGGGGCGGGCTGTCAACCCGTAAAGAAGAGCTGGTGGCCTAAGCCAAGGAAAAAGAAATTGGAGAGCATTGGGGAACGCTGGTACTGCCCTGAACGCTGCACCTTGGGAGAAACAGTGCCTGAAGATGCTGCACTTATTCAGTCATCAGATAGAACACAGCCTACACCTACTTCGATAGATTTGTGGCAAGCTTAGCAATAACTTAAGAAACTGTTCGGGTTGGACTGCATTTGACGTTGCACATAGGTGCTGCAATTAGGGTTACTAACACTCCGAGGATTACTCCACCGTAGAGTACGCTACGCGGCCGCCGTCAGCAAAACTACGACACCGAGTGTACGGATCCGATTATCATAAAGGAACTCGTGTCCACTGCAATGGGATACCCCAGACGGGCCGTCCCTGTGGCTGCCGTTTTTCTCAATCCCAGACCTGCCGACAACTCACGTTGATGCGCTTGGTGCCCATGTAGCCCTTCCACTTCTTGTAGGCTTTCTCTTCGGCTGCTGTAGAGCCTGGTGTACCTGCCGGCCAACTTGCAAGGTAGGATGGACATGTGCTAGGTATCGAACGCGCCATCGCGTGCCAGGCCCAGCGAGCGTCGCCGGTCAGATGCACAACGTCGCCACTGTGGACTCGGATGGCAACGCTTCTGGGTGCATTCTCACCCTCTCCATCATCTTCTCCTCGTGCCATGATGAAGATACCATCGCATCCGACGCTGAAACTTGCAAGCGCTCTCTGACACTGCTCGCTGACGTCGCGATGTACAGGCATGAAGTCTTTAGCTGAGTACATCAAAACCACACCAGATTCTGGCCGGATATGGGGAAAGAGGCCAGTCACAAGTGTTGATAAATCTGCCGGGAATGGCGTTGCATGCTTTGCATAGCTACGAGTAGGCCAATCGTATTGCTCGCCCAGTGTTAGCCAACGAAGCTTGGTGTACAAAAATTGCTCGTTGTTAAGCGGATTCAGCTTGTCTTGAACTTTCGGCATTAAACAGTCCTCCGGTGCTGCTCGTTGACGCAAAAAAAAGCTACTGTCGAATCGCAGTTCGTCCGATGTGGGTTTCGGAGGGTACGGGATATCATAATCCGCCTGGAGGTTGATCTTGTGGCCTGCATCTGCCAGATCTCGGTGCATGAGACATGACGTAAAAATGACCTGTGTCTCAGGGGGAAGAAGTCCAGATATAACTTGAAGGCCAGGGAAGTCGCGATGTTCGAAGATCTGCGCATCTTCTGCAGGTATAGCGAGTGGTTTGCCCCTTGCGTATGCCTGGCAAGCAGCTTCAATCTGAGTCGCGGGAATGATGCCTGCAGGGCGCCAGATGTCTTTGTGATCTTCACTAAACTGGTCGCGTTTGCTAAGGTCAAAAATGTCTGGGTCGGTATCTAGGTCAGCTTTACGCATGCTTTGATATCGCCAATGTTCCTTCTGAATGAATTGTGGTGGTGTAGCATGCGTATCATGATGCACCGAGCCCTTCTGCCATAACTGTTAGCCGAACCCGTTCAGTACGAAGGGGCGACATACGAACGCGCTCGGTGGCATCCGTGGACAAGTCCATTGCCGCGGTAGGGTAGAAGAATTGTCGAATGTGGGGACGAACTGGCACCTGGAATGATGATTGTCTTCTCAATGAGACATGTAGCCGCCTCAGAAATTGCATCAACTGCAGTAAGAGCGTAGAAAAGGTCGAAACTGAGATGCACAGAATGCTACCTAAGCTGCATAATTGGCATTACAGGAGGGCTAGGCCTACGAAAAGAATGAGTGCGAGAGGTGGCTCGTGCGTTTGTCTTATCGATAAGCAGCACAGGAGGGCCTTCAACTAGTGCTTTTCGCATTCTCAGTCTAGACCTGTCTTTGACGGCGATCTAGCTAACACACGATGAGCGTTGTACTGCCGCTCGCTGTCGTCGCTGATATTGATATCTTCGAAGGGTGAATGAAGATGTGAGACATCTATTTCGTGCAAAAACATCGCGACATGATATCAGATAGCGTATGACGCAAGTGCAGGTGAAAAGACGTAGAGAACAGGGTCTTTTGTCTAACAAAAACAAGGACTCTTCCAATACTCTACTTTCACACTGCCTAGTTTTCTACCTTGAACTGAGCGCTATCAACCAGTCATCTCATCATTTTCTATCATCAGATAGAAGACATTGACTGAGGGCTTTACTCTACCGCGCTCCGTTCAGATCCTTCGATTGCGCCGCCCCACCGTTCGTCATCGTCGCCGCTGAGTGTGCTTCGTCGTCATTTACCTCGATCATCACAATGCATGTGCACGTTGGGGCTGTTGTACCTTCGGCCTGTCCCTGGAACATGCTACCGGTAGTGTTGAAAACGTATGGCCTCTCGAGGAGTTCGATAATATGGAGGTGGTTTTTGGACACAAAACACGCTTCGTGTATATTGCGATGGTGTGAGCAATCTCTTCGGGATATACGAAGCTGGACTAGACGATATCAGTAGCTTCCGGACCGAAACTTCAAAGGCTACAATACCTGCATCTACCAAAACTTGAGTGAGCTGGGGTTCTTCTTTGTCTGCCCACATACCAACACAGTCGAGGTCACTGCGATGCACTTGCATAGCGGTGCCAGCGGGTTCGTTACCATGTTCTTCGGCAGAGTTCTCGTGCCCATGAGATAACGACGGGAGATGTACTTGGCGATCATTTTGAAAAGAGCCAGGACTAACGGCTGATATAACCACTGCCGTCGGTACTGAAGAAGCCATTCTGTTCTTCAAGACTCCAAAGGAAATGAGAAAGACTACCCACTACACTTCAACAGCGGCGCGTGAGGCGCTACTTATACTTCACACGCTGTGACATTGGCTGAGATACAACGAGCCACTCTTCCTCTGTGTAGAACACACATTCATTGCGCAGCCCCAATATTGACTACGACTGACAGCACAGAGTCGCATGACTCGGCTTGTTCATTCCGCCGTCTGTTAGTACCCCAGTGAGCTAGCTGTATGTAGAAGGTTTAGATCTTTGTTATGGAATCGGGGATACGGGCTAGGGGCCGCTACGGGTCTTGTACCTATCAGGCAAGAGTCGGAGGACACCTATCCTGGCGTGGGATCGCGGCTGTGGATACAGAACCCAAGCGAACTTCTCAAATCAACAGACCCATGACCATGGCACTCATTGCAGCTTCCGCGGCCGAATCAGACAAGAGAATTAAGAGGTTAAGGTGGGTCTGCAAACATGAGCGCCTGCCGTGTGGTGTCATGCATCGGATGTAGCCTTGCTCACGCGGTGAAACAAACTCGTTCCACGGACGAGCATAGTTACACGCGAAGTAGGGATCGGCATCCCGAGCGATTGATACAGTCCAGACACGCTCAAGATAAGGCAGCTGGAGAGCCGAATGTCTCCGCTACGTAGCTCGAGTGAGCAGTGCATCGGGCAAGAACCGTTGAGAGTGAGCTTGTACCAAGAAAGATGCTGTCTCTTCAACACGGAACCGCAAGCCGCATTCAGTTACTTTTTATCATGCTACATGATCGAACATGAATACCAAGTACTCAGTGGAGCAGAAAAACATGCAGTAGTACTTGGAGATCGGGTCATAAAGTCCCCTCCCAAGATTAAAATTACGTTGCCGAAATTAGTGAGAGACTGCCTTAGGCATGTATATTTCTCGATCTGGCCTTGATCGGTGTAGATAAGGGCTATGATGACAATGTAGTAAGATGATGATTAGGCAACACCCATTGTGCAAGGTACAGACCACTTGAGTGGTAGAAATCAGGCTATGTATATGGGGAAGGGTGCCGGCCCTCAAGGGTGCAGAAAATCTTGCAAGGCCTGAGCAGCCTTATCGGTCCAAAGAGGAAGGAATGGGAGGATGAGCCGCTTCCCCGTAGATCCTATCGTTGCTTAAAAACGTCACCGGGTAAAACTTCGTAGTGTCACCCAATGACACACTGCTGTACACTTACACAGCCTTGTTACCTGCGCAGGAGGCAGGACCACACAACCCGATCCCCCAGACTTAGTTCCATGCAGCCGTTCTTCTGGAATAATTTGGCCAGCCTTAGTATGGAGAAGTAGCAAAATTGTACGAGAACTTGGGCGTAGCGGAGTCTACTTCCGCAAACTCGAAGACTAAACGACCGCGGTGTCTCTTTGCAGCCACGCGCTTGTTGCTGAAGTTACTAGACAGCTATTCTCAGATGTACGCAACGGGAGCTGCGTACGTGTAAACAAGTAGTGACGAAAGGCTTGCGACTTCGGCGGTACTGTGCACCTCTTCTTCGGACGACAATTTCTAAGTAAGCTGATAAGGTCTTGGTGGCGTCACCGCCGGTTTGCGCTTTGATAGAAGCTTCTTCCGGTGGGCTGCTGCAGTCTTCTGGAAGCCTGCTGTTGATGGAAGGTGCCAATTCCTGGGCACACGCGGCCGTGGAGCGCCTAATACTGGCACGCTGGGCTCAGAATGATTGCTGGGTTAGCGGTAAAGCCTACATCCTTCTTTGCAGGCAAATGGCTGGAGATTTTCGCAACCAAAA